ATAAATGTTGTCTTTGGTGATTGTTTAATTTCCAAATATATTCACGTTTATATGTGAGTGGGTCGATGACGAACATTAGCTAAAAATACTTTGTGGAATGGCATTTTCTGAAGTTAGGTCCATTCATTTGTATTAGCTTACTGGCAGAGATGCCACATTCAATATGGCGGATGCGATTACGTATCGCTGCAAGGAGCCGACCCGCTCCATGAGGCGTCTACGTATTAATGTCTATGGGTAAACCTGTCCGAATCCACAGATATTTTTCTTCCAGTCAGTTTATTCCCGCCCTTCAAAGGACCCGTCCTATGTAGACCAGTCCTTTGAAGGATGCAGACCCTGAATTCGGACACAGCCATACTATTAATTCCTGTGTTTATTGAAATTTACAGAAGTTGAGTGACGTCATCAAGAACGCCTTGTTCTCACTGTCTTCCATAAGCAATGCAGTTAAAACACAACAACTCTCAGTGGTATGGTATTGCAATCTGTTTTTGGGGCATTGGTGCACATACTGTTCAATGAAGAGTTCGTCAGAAGCTGAAATTTAAGACTTAGCCTTGCAGGGAATGAGTTGACGATCCACAACTATGGAGTAGTCATTGATGGTGAAATGCTCCAACCGCTAAAACGTAGTAGGGCTGCCTCCCCTGGACTGAGCTTGTCATCTCTCGAAGGCTGCGGCATGACAAATAAATTTTTCAGTGGAACAAAAGTAAATCAGATAATAGCATTTCAACTTTGCGGTAAGACACACTTTACTAAAAGTTGGGTTGACTTACTTTGTGAAACTGGACATCTTGGCTCAGAGCTTCTTGAACAGATCTTCACAACCCTCTTCTCCCTCTGGGTGGTGGAGGCAGGAGGTACATAAACAGCAACAGTAATAAAAAAAATCTTTATTAAAATACAAGTTGAATGACCAAACTTCATTCAGAAACTATTCCCACATAATTGCATATAAAAGTGATTTTACATAAATAGTGAAAATATCACCTCTTTGGACTGCGAGAATATGTCATCACTTGAATCTCTTCTTGGGGATGTCATCATCATTCAGAGGACATGAACAACAGCTCACTGATGAACGTGATGAGAAAGTGTCTGCGCATAAAGACTCCTCTGCAGATTCTAAGGGGAAACCAGAAATACAAAGAGACAGTGGACCACCATTAAGAAAATAAATTTAAAATATGCTAGTTTTTAGACTTGATTATATGTTCAAAATATTTAACAAAATTAATAGTGTTTTAAATAAGAAAATTCGGCTCCAAATTATATCCATGGTTCAATCAGCGTAATCTCTTATGTAGGATATTTCTATTGAAATATAATACATTAAGTTGAATTAAATAATTTAGCTTGTAGTTGTCTAAAACACAAATAGTTTCTCTGTGGACTGAGCAGGCATTCACAGGGGGTCGTGGCTCTGTGTGTGAGTTTAACCTTTTGACCACCTTGATAAGATTTAACAGCTGGTGTAAAACAATCTGGCCTTATTGCCAGAGCAGAGCTTCCTCTCTGGTAGGCTTATAAAAAACATCTGTCTCCACTCAAAAGAAAATAGCACTTCTTTGATCTTGAAAAGAAGTGTTACCATGTTCCAGGCTTTTACTGGAACATGGTAAACTAGATTAAATGAACTTTGCTAAAGACAGTCCCCTAATTTGAATACATCAGAGAAGGAAAACACACCCTCCTTTAAAAGTATAGGACCCAGAACCTTAATTCAGATTGCTCTGGGGTTTCCTGCGATGCTGTCTCCGGGGAACAGTGCATCGGTGAAATGGTTCCCCATAAGTTTGTCTTGATGTGTGGATGTCTGTGGAGTAAGGTAAATGTTGAATTGGATGCTGGTTTGTGATTTTATTATGAGTTTTGTCAGCTTCATTAGTTGTTCATCTAATAAATGTTGTTATGATTGTACTTGGAAAGCGTTTGTCTTTGTCTTTGTGGCTCAGCTGATACAATGACAACATCAAGGAATCCGGGCAGAAGAGAGAATAAAAACGATCAAAAGATTTTAATTATTCTTCTTCTGATTAAAATTAACAATACATAAGGTAATCAGGGGAAACGAGGGACTGCTGGGGACAATCAAGTGGTAGACAGGACAACACGGAGACAAAACTGAACACAAAAACCTAAATAAACACACAGAATAACCAAATCCTCACTTTTAGGGGGGGAAAAGAAACATTTTTATTGTTTTTATTACACTAAATCTGCTATTTGTTAACTTTTGCTTTAGATCAGTGTTCCCCAACCCTGGTCCTCAAGGCACACCATTCTACGTGTCTTAGAGGTTTCCCTGATTTAATGTGCCTGACTCAACTGATTGCATTTCATGAAACTCCTGTTAATCAGTCATCGATTGAAATCAGCTGGGCTGAAGCAGGGAAATACCTAAAACATGCAAGTCAGTGTGCTTTGAGGACCAGGGTTGGGAAACACTGCTTTAGATCACCTTGGGAAGTCATACAACGTACCAGGGTTACGAAAATGCATGAAGACATAAACAATGCAACATAAATGAAATTTATTTTGTGTGTGTGTGTTTTCAAACAAACTGATTGACATGTCTATTTAGTTGTAACAGGCAGAAGGAGCTAACCTTCGTGCTGTTAGCATTTAAAGTTTATATCTTTTAGTCACTGTAGACTCAACAGTTTCCTGAATGTTTCTGTGACAATGAATGGTCAGACAGCCAGATAAGGAGCCTTTACTCGATTCTCAATACAACAGGGCAAGCTAAGGACGTCCTGTCCTATGTTACAGAGTTGCTGTCATTTGCTTTAGATCATCTTGGGAAATCATACAACGTACCAGATTATGTTAGCAGGCAAGCTATACTGACAGCAACTGGGCAGCCATTACAGGAGTGTATACATTTCCATACTCAGAGATATTGTAATGTAATGTTTGAATGATGTAAAAACTCTGCGTTTTTCATATTTACCAGGTAATTTTATATAATACGCAATCTGACGTGGTTATTTTAGCAATAATGCTAATATTTCTGCATTATTGCTGAATTATTAATAGTAATAGTAATTCCAGCAATAATGCTTTCTCCTGGACACTTTCTAGTCAAAGTTAGGCAGGTTTGGCTTTTACAAGTAAAACTTTTAAATTATATTTTAGAAAATTATTTAAAGCAAACAGTAAAACAATGTTTTCCAACCAAACCCCGAGGCATTCATAGTACAGCAGGTTTTATATGGGGATAAAAATACAGTTACAGCAAAGACTGACAGCCCCTTGTGTTAAATATTTGATCTCTTAAATACCACTTATGTTTTTTGGAGTTTTTTTTTTAACACAGGTTAGTGAGCTTTAACACATCTGAAAGTTGATTTTACTCATCATTTTAAAACAGCTTCTGATCGTAAACACCAGTCCTGCTTAGCTGCTTCAATTAAACTCTGGTTTGTTTGTCTAGAAAGTCTGGTTTATTTGGTGAGCTGAATGCTAATCAAACTCTGGTCCAACTACAAACCTCAGTCTTAGTTTGGTTGAAGTGAATTCTTTGAATGCAAATCTGAACGCCAAGCTGACTGGAGACTGTTCCAAAAGCAGGAAGTGGACTACAGCACAGGGCATTCTGGGTAAATACAACCAAATCAAACATAGGAGCTTAGCATCAGCACAGAAATGGTTGGTTTGACTCAGAGCAGACAAAGAAAACCACAGCAGCTGTAAATGTAACAAATGTTGCATTTGTAATCAAAGCTACATTTCCTCAGATTACTGTCACGGCCAGAATGAATATTTTCCTAAGTTCCATTAGGGAATGTCATTTCGACAAAATGAGATTGTTTTGGATAAAAGTGACATCAACACAACTTGCATGTTCATCAATAACGGATCAGGTTGTTTCAGTTTTAAATGGAAATGAAATCAAGAGGAATAAATAAAAAAACACACACACGCACACTACAGACAAATCCCAGAGACCACCCAGGAGCTCCTTCTGCATATCAATCTGACCCAGAGTTGTTGTGATTGTTTGTGCTCAGCTAAAGCCACAAGGAGATCACTGAGTTCCAAACACGCCTGTCTGCCTTATTTGCGCGTAATATCCCACTCAGTTATTTTTTTTATCTTCCCGTCCCTGCGTTGTATGCTTCAGCTGATATCTAGATATAAATTTATATATTTTTCAGGGTTTTTTGCAAATAAAAAATTCCCATCACTCTTTTTTTCCACCGTTGTTTATAACACAAATTCGGTCCTGGTGGCATCTTAGCATGAACTCTTGTGTGTGCACTTGCATATCTTTGTGTACTTGGCAGGAGGCAACAAGGCAGGGAAAGCAGAGTGGGGTTTTATGATGAAATTCAGTGGCAATTTGAAGTCTCCAATCACCGAACCATGCAAGAAACAGAGGGGGGGAAAGGCAGAAAGGTGAATAGACAGAAATAAGAGGTGAAGACAAATATGGAAGGCTCCAAAGAGAGCAGAAAGAGGTAAACAAAGGAGAGAAAGACTGTTAATTACTTAATCGCACAGTTAAACTAGAGACATGAAAGCATAGCCTCAGTCTGTTTATTATGTGAAAAAAATAAAATAAAATTTATGTCTCTGACTGTGCCGTTGCATCTCCTGCAAGTTTTTTCTCTCCTTCTCTGAATCTGTCAGTCTGTGTAATTAGTCTCATTCCTTTCCACATAACAGCTATAGCTGCAGGTTTCACCAAGTTGATGTTGGAACACCAGCGATAAACAACTCAGTCAGATTTGTTGCTCTCTGTGTGCTTCTAGGGAGGACATCTGAATCACAAGCAGAGACGGCAGAGAGAAAGAACAGCAGGAATGGAAGAGAGGGGGATGAAAAGGAAGAAAGAAAAGGCACCAAGGAGGCCCAGAGCCGGGCACTAGTTAGCACCTTTCAGCAAGGAATGATGAGGAGTTACATCATCAGAGAGAAGGAGAGGGGAGATCACCTACTGGAAACATCAAAACATTTTACCCTTGATGCTCTCCTCCGTATCATAGCTGGACTGCGGGGCGTCACAGAAAATAACGCAACCCCGCTGACCTTGGGAACAAAAAAACTCATGCCGTAATTGTGTTGCATGTTTCATCTCTGAATGCTGGGGCACCATCGTGTTTTTGTGTTAAAAAGAAGTTCAGGTGTCAGATTTCCAAACTCTTCAGTTCTTACTGAGATATTTTAAAAGATAAATGTAAAAGTTCAATAAGATGTAGCAAATATTTACAAGGAGGGAAGAAAAGAAGAGACTGTCAGCCATCCAGTTATTCATCCAATCATCTTTAGGATGGATGGATGGATGGATGGATGGATCATTAGATGGATGGATCTTTTAGACAGTGTGTTCAGCTCTAATGTTGGTTAATATTTTCACATTATTAAACTAATGATCTGGTAGATGAGTAAACTCACATCAGGACTCAGCAATGAGCTGAACATGGCTCCCATACAGCTGAGATAATTATACAGCCATGCTTAAAACTAAAGGATTATAAAAAATAAATAAAAAGCATATGCATACAGAAAATTAGAAGAGCTTCAAAAGACATGACATTTATTATGCATCAAATATTTGGTGGATATTCAGGCAACAAAGCCTTACTATAAAATGGCATGTAGCGGTAGGGAACTTAAAAGGACTCCTTTTCCCAACCAAAATGCAGGAGGAATAACAAAAGGAGGCTTACAGAGCACGTATATTTCTCCTTTTTTGTGCCTCAGGCAGTTTAAACTGAACACATTTTCCTTTGCACTGCGAGTTCATTTGAATTCAGTCATTTGAAAAGATAGTCTTTCTCTAGCAATTTTTACCCCCTCTCCCTTCCTTATTTATCAACGAGAACTCATTCGTTTCACCTTGTTTGAAGAGCGCTACCAAAAATTCAAACAAGGGAGAACAAAACGTTTGCCAGTTTTCCTGTTCTGCATTTTAATGCTCTCTATAGCAGGGAGAGTTGGTTTTCTGTTGCCTCCTTCTTGGAAAAACAACAGCAGCTCTCCCTTTGCCTATACACAGAGTGGAGCTGAGCTTCAAGGCTGCTTTGTAAACACAATGTCAAATAAATATATCATCTGTAGTGGAGATTAATGTTTATTTGAACATATCCAGGGCTTTTCTGTTTTTGATCTCTGC